CCTTTTGGGTTATTGGACGCCCCTTGATTGCTGAACTCCAGACAACCCTGCACAGCTCATTGATCTGATGTCCCAGCACAAGGGAGTCTTCTCCTTCCTCAGGAATGTCTTTGGAAACAACCTTCTCCCATTCCTGGGGAAATTTTCCAAGTACCTTCAAGTCACAGCTCCAAGAACTTCACATCAGCCAAGATTAAAGTAACCTTTTTCCTGTATTCTCAGGAAAGGTGTTGGATTTCATCTCCAAAAAGAGACGGGCAAATAGTTTTGTTGTGCTTCTGGTACCAGGGAAAATGATGAGCTGCTGTTTGTTGCCAGCTGGAGGTGAATTTTTCCAAGAGATGAGAAACGGGAGCAGGAAAGTCATTTTCATAATGTTTTTTTCACAAGGTCAGACCTGTGACACCCAGGATTGAGGTTTCATAGAATCTTAGAATCCAGGATGGTTTGGGCTGGAAGGGACCTTAAAGCTCCTCTGATTCCACCCCCTGCCGTGGGCAGGGACACCTTCCACTAGACCAGGTTGCTCCAAGCCCCGTCCAACCTGGCCTTGGACACTTCCAGGGATGGGGCAATCACAGCTTCTCTGGGCAACCTGTGCCAGGGCCTCCCCACCCTCACAGCCAGGAATTCCTTCCCAATATCCCATCTAACCCTTCCTGCTGTCAATGGGAAGCCATTCCCCCTTGTCCTGTCACTCCATCCCTTGTCAACAGTCCCTCTCCAGCTCTCCTGGAGCCCCTTTAGGCCCTGGAAGGGTCTCTCAGCTCTCCCTGGAGCCTTCTCTTCTCCAGGTGAACCCTCCAGCTCTCTCAGCCTGGCTCCAGAGCAGAGGGGCTTTAGCTCTTGGAGCCTCTCTGTGGCCTCCTCTGGACTCTTTCCAGCAGCTCCACGTCCTCCTTCTGTTGTTCCCCAGGGCTGGGGCAGCTCTGCAGGGGGGTCTCCCCTGAGGGTGCAGAGAGGCAGAGTCCCCCCTCCCCTGCTGCCCACGGTCCTTGTTTGGGAGGTAAATGTTGTCTCACTTTGCTGTTCGTGCTGCCCCTCACATACCCCCCCATGGCATTTTAGGAGACATTCCTCCTGCAGATTCCTGCCTTCTGTCTCCCCGGGAGGGAACAGGTCCTGCAGCCCCTGTGGGTACAATGGTCTCTCATCCCAGGGACACCACTGTGCTCTTGGCTCCTATTCCAGAGGGAAGCACTGAGGGCTCTGCTCCCTGTGCCTGCCAACACCATCCCGTGCCAACACCTCCTGCTCCCAAACAGCAGAGCATCACTGGGGGAGTTCTCTGAGTCCTGCCTTGTCCTCAGATGACTCCTGTCTCCATGAGCCTTTCCTTCATCTCCCTCTGAACAGCTCTGCTCCACAGGGTCAGGTTGCAGTGATGTATTAGGGGAAAAAACCTCTAAGTGATTAGGAAAGGCACAAGAATTTAAAGGAACACAAACTTCCCAGCTGAGCTGGCTAAATCTGGTTTTTTAGGCTTTGGTAACCTTTGAGACCTTTCTTAGAAGTTGGAGAAAGGTCAGTCTAAAGGAGGGAAACACAACTGGGAAAGAAAAAAACCCCAGTGTTGGGCACACACATAATGTTGAGCAAGGTTCAAAGAAAAAAAACTCCCTGAAAAATGGTCCAGGAGCAGCTCCTGTCCCAAAGGTGCTCTGCCCAGCAGTACCACCCCAGTCATGGAATCATGCAGTGGTTTGGGTTGGAAGGCACAATAAAGCTCAACTCATTCCACCCCCTGCCATGGGCAGGGACACCTTCCACTAGCCCAGGTTGCTCCAAGCCCCATCCAACCTGGCCTTGGACACTTCCAGGGATGGGGCAGCCACAGCTTCTCTGGGCAACCTGTGCCAGGATCTCACCACCCTCACAGCCAAGAATTCCTTCCCCACATCCCATCTAACCCTGCCCTCTGGCAGTGGGAAGCCATTCCCCCTTGTCCTGTTATTCCAGGACCTTGTCCAAAGTCCCTCTCCAGCTATCCTGGAGCTCCTTGAGGCACTGGAAGGGCTCCAAGATCTCCCCAGAACCTTCTCTTTTCCAGGCTGAACCATGGAAGTTCTGGAGCAGAGCCTTAAAGATCCTGAGATAGGTTAGCCAGGCTGACAGCTAAAAGCCTCTTGGTCCCAAAGGGAATTCAGTTCAAAGCGTTTCTGAAAGGAACTTCTGAGCTTCCATACCCAAGTTGCCGTGCGTGTCACGAGGAGACTCCACATCAACCGCAGCTTGTCCCTCTCCCGCTGCCACTCCCAGGCTTGGCTGTATCCAGATGCCAGGGCAACCATTGTCCCCTCCATCAGGAGACCAGATGGACCCGTATCCACAGGAACACTTGTCAAGGAGCTCCTTCTGTGGGGTTTCAACCCAGGGGGAAGTGCCCTGGAAATGCTCTTTTTAATTTTGTCCCAGTCCCACGGAGTTTGTGCCAGTGGAACCTGGGACATCACAACCAGGAAGAAAGTGCATGGAACCATTCCCATATTAGTTTTGAAATTCTAGGTGACTCAAATAGATGAGTCTTACTATGAAATGATTGGGTTTCTTTCAATACTGGCACAGGCTGCCCAGAGCAGTGGTGGAGTCCCCAGCCTGGAGGGGTTTAAAAGACATGTGGATGTGGCACTTGGGAGCCCCTGCTCCAAAGTGATTTCCCATTTCTGAAGTCCTTCATGGGATGAATCCAATCCAGGACTGTCACAATTTTTAAACTTAACAGAAGTAACTTGTGAAGAGACTTGCTCTTGTTCTCAGTTAAATGTGTTTAAAACTGAGTTGGTCTGAGAAAGTGTGAAAACTTTTATTCTTTAAATAAAGCCAAGATTGGGGGGGTTGGGCTTTTTTATTTTTATTTTTTAAATAAACAATGACAGGGCAGTCATGGAATGGTTAAACCTCCTCAAAGAGAAACAACAAGAGCTTTTGGGGCAGAAATCAGTGCTGGCAGCTTTGGGCAAGCCCTGAAGTCTTTGTCCCCATGTTCCCAGGACACCCTCCTGTCAGGGAGTTGTAGAGAGGGAGAAGGTCACCCCTGAGACTCTTTTTCTTCAGGCTGAGCCCCCCCCCACTCCCTCAGCTGCTCCTGGTGTTCCAGACCCTTCCTCAGCTCCATTGCCCTTCTCTTGACACGCTCCAACCCCTCAATGTCCTTCTTGTGAGGGCCCAGAACTGACTCCAGGACTTGAGGTATGGTCTCAGCAGTGCAGGGGACAGTCATGGGACCTGGAGGGGACCTGGAGGAGCTATCTAAGGCATTTTGAAAAGCTTATTTTCAAAGAAAATGGAGCATCTGAGATGCTCCAGCCCAAGAAAAAGGTGGCTGAGGTCTGAAGCCATCAGTGATTTGGGGAGGAGGAAAGGGCTGGTTCATGTCCCCCTAGCACAAGAACAGTGACACCCAACCAACACCAGCCTGTGACAGCTCCAAAATGAGCAAAAATGGTTTCTCCACCCAACACTGATGATCCTTGTGGGTCCTTTCCAAGTCAGGATATTCCTGATTTTATGAAACTGCTTGGCTGAGCGAGTGAGACACGACGTGTGCTCGGGAGCTGGAGGAAGCAGGTCCTGCTGCCACCAGATTTTACCCAGCACACGGTGGCTCCTCACTGCACCAGAGACTGGCCTGGCTCACATACAGTATTGCAGAGCACTTTATTTTTGCTATTCTGTGTCAATAAAGCAGCCCCATCTCACAGGACCTCTGGGGGACACTGTTGGTGCAACTGCAGCACTAAAAACACCGACTGCAGCACTTTTTAGCCGGGGGACTGAAAAAAAGGGACCAAAGCCACTTTTGACACCAGCCTGGCATCAGAACCCCATCCCTGCAGGTATCCCCAGTGAAAAGCTGTCACTGGGCACCCTGCCCTTGGGGTGGAGCCAGCAGCTCTACCTGCTCTTGCAGGGCAACAGAAAAAAAGGGGATTAAAGGAAGGAAGCGCTGCTGCTGTGCCCATCCTGAAGAGCTGGCTCTGTCGTGCTGCTGCCTGCCTTCACCCAGGGGAAACAGGGTGTTCCTGGCCTGGCTTTTGGCTGGGGACATTCCATGTGCATCCAGCACCTGCTCTGATCACCTTCAGCCCCCACATTGGCCCCAGCTCCTGGAGTATGAAGGGATTAATCCCCCTTGCACCTAAGGCACCTCATGCAGAGCAGTCTGTGGCTCTCCAGAGAGCAGGGCTCAGAATTTCAGGCAGATTCACAACATCCTACTGATCTCAGTGAGGTCAGCAGTGTTTGTAGACTGCTTTACAAAGTGTCAGCTTCTGTGCCCAACTAAACCTCAAGCAGGTGTCAGCACCAGCCTGGTTGGAGATGCCTTGGCACTGGTCTGGGAAGGTCCTTGCTGGGTTTTTTTATACATCTAAAATCTTTCAGTGTCACTCATGACTTTTCTCTGCTGGAGGGAACAACAGCAAACCGGGATAGAGGGAACTTCAATCAAGGCACTATCTGGAAAAGCAAATTGTTGGCCAGAGCAGGGCAGGGAGGACAGTATGGGCAGTTTTGGTGCTGCCACTTCTTGTTGGCTGTGCAGGGGCATGGGCAGCACTGGGCTCTCCGTTCCCAGGCAAGCTCAGATGTTGCAGGTGTCCAGAGGAGGCCAGGGAGATGCTCTAAGAGCTAAAACCCCTCTGCTCTGGAGCCAGGCTGGGAGAGCTGGGGGGGTTCACCTGGAGAAGAGAAGGCTCCAGGGAGACCTGAGAGCCTCTTCCAGTGCCTAAAGGGGCTCCAGGAGAGCTGGAGAGGGACTGTGGACAAGGGCTGGAGGGAAGCAGGACAGGGGGGAATCGGCTTCCACATGCCAGAGGGCAGGGTTAGATGGGATATTGGGAAGGAATTCTTCCCTGTGAGGGTGGGGAGGCCCTGGCACAGGTTGCCCAGAGAAGCTGTGGCTGCCCCATCCCTGGAAGTGTCCAAGGCCAGGCTGGACAGGGCTTGGAGCAACCTGGGCTAGTGGAGGGTCCCTGCCCATGGCAGGGGGGTGGAACGAGATGAGCTTTCAAGTACCTTCCAGCCTAAACCATCCTGTAGTCTAAGATTCTGTGGAATCTTATTCCTGGAGTTTAAACTCAGTTCTCAGACTGGACACCACATCTTTGCTCTGAACAGAAGTGAAAGAGGCAGAGGGAGGCTCTGTGGGCAGGAGAGCCACCAGCTGCTTGAAAGGACCTGCAAAAAGGGCTCTGGGAAGCCAGGCAGCCCCTCCACAGCACTGAAGAGCCACACTGAGCAGGCTGTGCAAGACCAGCTGGAATGGGACAACCTTTCTCCCAGCACTGGAGGAGGAAGTCATTCTCTTGGTGTTTTATCCAACCTTTGTGTTGGCAAAGCAAACAACATGTTGGCTGTACCCACAGGCCCTCCTGGGGCTGGGAACACTGGCCAGATGGTTTGCTGGGGTTTCTAAGGTTCCACCAAATCAAGCAGCTCACTGCCAGTCCCTCCCTTCCTCCCACCCTCTGGGTTTGAAAATGCTTGAACTGTGTCCAGGGAAAGGCAGTGGAGCTGGGGAAGGGTCTGGAGCACCATGAGAACTGAGAGAGCTGGTGGGGCTCAGCCTGGAGAAAAGGAGGCTCAAGGGGAACCTCCTCACTCTCTGCTACTCCCTGACAGGAGGGGGGAGTCGGGGGATGGATGACCTCTGCTCCCAGGAACAAGGGACAGGACAAGGGGAAATGGCCTCAAGTTATGTTGGGGGGTTTAGGTTGGATATTAGGGAAAATTTCTTCATGGAAAGGGTGGTCAGGCACCGGCACAGCTGCCCATGGCAGTGCTAGAGTCACCATCCCTGGAGGGATTTAAAAGCTGTGTGGATGTGGCACTTGGGGACATCGTTTAATGGTGGCCTTGGCAGTGCAGGATTAATGGCTGAACTTGATGGTCTCAAGGGTCTTTTCCAATCTAAGTGACTCTAATATTCTAATTAAGTGTGACCTGTGGGCACATCTGAATCAAGATCCATGTGCTGTGGGCCTGCAACAGCCTGTGGAGCCCCCGGCAGTGTGGGTCTGTGGGGACTGTGAGGGTGTCCCGGCACCCAGGGGCATTCCTGGGCAGAAAGCAACAGCACCCAGAGCACATTCTGGACAGTCACGCCCTTGCTCAGCCTGTATCCACCTGGTTTGGCTCCATGGAGGCTGCAGGTGACCATGCTAAGGGTTTTGCTGAAGTGAAAGTGCTCCCTCATCCTCACAGCCAGTTTTCCTGCCATTCCAGGTAGTCAGGTTGGTCAGGTGTGACGTGGCCTTTGTAAATTCCTGCTGACTGTGCTCTTCTCATCCTTTGGGTGCTTGGCACTGATTGCTGGGAGGATTTGCTCCCTCACCTTCCCAGGGACAGAGGTGACGTTGGGCAGGCTGTGGTTCACCTGCTGGAGCTGGATGTGAGGTTTGCCCTCTCCCACTCAGCAGGAACATCCCAATTGCTACAACCTTCCAAAGAGATCAGAGAGGAGCCTTGTCAGGGCATTGTCCACCTCCCTCAGCATCCTTGAGTGCATCCCACCTGCTCCTATGGGCTTGTGTATGTGCAGGTGGCTCAAGTGTGTCCTAAGTCAACCTTCCTCTAGCATGGATGATGCCTCACCAGTGAAGACTCTGCTGCTGTAACCAGGGATCTGAGAGGATTTAGGGCAAACTTCAGCAACAACAAATGAGTCAAAGAAGCCTTTGAGTACTTCAGCTCCTCTGAGTCTGTGGTCACTGGGTCCAGGTCTCCCTCAGCCTTCCTTCTGCTGCCAGCGTGCTTCTAGGAGCCTCCTCATTCCCCTCCACATCCATTACTGATTCATTTGCCCTTCACATCCCACTGCAGCTGAGCTTTGTCTATGTATCCTGTACAACTTAGGCAACACCTCTCCTGTCTCCCCAGGTGGCCTGTGCCCGCTTCCACTTTCTGGGTACTTCCTTCTTCCACCTGAGCTCAGTCAGGCATTCCCTGTTAACTGCTGGTAGATTCTGCCCCACTCACTTGACCTCCTCCAGACAGCAGCGACCCACTCTTGTGCTTGGAGGAGGTGGTCCATG